AAGAATTCTGGAGGCAGCTGTTGTTCACTTTGTGTGTTGTATGCAAACACATGTAGAGACAGTAGGATTGGCTAGAGTGGAATCCTATTCTTTGCACTGCTGCAATCCAGCACTGGATGTCTGTATTTCTCCAGCCCATCTTGAACATCTTTACATGCTGATCCTACTGAAATACTTGCAGCTAACAGAGGATGAGGAAGAAAGGGGGTCTAGACCAGGGGTAGGCAACCTAAGGCCCGGAGGCCGGGTGCGGCCCCCTGAGGCCTTTGGATCGGCCCCAGGCTGGTCCTGCTGCCACCGCCCACCATGATAATATTGATTATTGTTGTTATTACTTGTGTTTGGGGTTTTCTTGGCAAAATCTCCACAGGAGTTTTGCCATGGCTTTTCTGGGACTGAGAGAGTGTGTATGCATATATTTTATTTTATTTTATTTTATTTTATTTTATTTTATTTTATTTTATTTTATTTTTTAATATTTATTTATTTATGGTGCTTCAGGCCCCCAATTGTCTGAGGGACAGCAACCCAGCCCCCGGCTCAAAAAGGTTGCCTACCCCTGCTCTACACAATAGCAAGGGAAGGAATATTCCAAAATATTCTTTAAAAGGTGAATATCTATGGGTTTTATGTTTGTTTGTTTGTTTGTTTTTTAGTGCCAAATAACCATAATGAAAAGAATTCTGAAATGACAAAAATCTTTGCAGTGTAGGACTTACTCTATGCAAGGTTTACATTTTTTAAAACCAAAAACAACAAATGTTTTGCACAGGAAACAGCTTTTTCTGTTCCAGAAAATGCTATATCTGTTTCCTATCTAGAAATGTGGTAGTGCAGACATATTATGCACAAAATTCACATGTTGTCAATTTATATAAAAAAAATAGCATTTTCTGCACAGGAGCCAACTGCTTCTGTGCAGAAGATCCCATCTGAACTGTATTGTCATATGTAGCCACAATGATGGACGTCTGTCTTCATAGCTACATAGTGGTCCAATGAGCAGCACTTCAGAAATTCCTCAGTTTCGGCACTGCTTGGCTTAAGAGGTACATTTTTGGTCATTAACAACCATAAACATGAATTTCTAAAGCTGTGAGATCATAACTGTGGCTTATGATCTCGTAAATACTGAACTGGATGCCAACTATAGTTTTCTGTTCAAAAACAACCACAGATGAACTTTGTGCAGAATAAGTCCCAAATTGTGAATAGGCTTTGAAAACTACCTTATTTTCCTGCGTATAAGACTACTTTTTAACCTGCAAAATTTGTGGTTAAAGTGGGGGGTCGTCTTATACGCCAGGTATAAGGATAAGGAGGATAGAGGTGCTAAAACTCTATATTTTGACTGGAAAAATGGGGGGTCGTCTTATATGCCTGGTCGTCTTATACGCCAGAAAATACGATATGTGGTTTCTCAAGCAGAAAGAAAATGAATAAAATTACTTGCTCCTTCTTTTCAGAAGGAAATTAGTAATAGTGCACATCTCTGCTTAGCAAGTTTTTTAAAAAATGTTATAAGTAGCTTCACTCTCAGAGGCTATGTTAACTGAGGTATGCCTATATAACTCTAAGAACTTTTTAAAGGAAGAAAGAAAAGAACAGAAATTTTGCCCTTCAAAGCATAGGATCTCCTTCTATATCCCCTATTTTTTTAAAAAAAAACACAACAACTTTGAAAGAGCCCTAGAGCAGATCTGAGACATCACTACAACCAGCCCCCAAAAGAATGGAATGAGTAGATATAGAAGTGACAGCTACTGGTAAACCCTTGAGAAACCCCAAAGAACTCAGACTTCTTTTGATTAGCCTGAAAGAGGCCACGATTTTCCATATTCCTCCAGCCAAACAAAACCCTGCATTAAAAATGGAAAATTTTATCACCAATTAAATGAAGCAAGTTGTTCCATTTAAATCCTGTTTCAGGGCCATCTAAATCTTTAAAATACCTACAATAGAATTCTGGAAATGACAATTTCCAGTTTTGAAAAACTATACAGATGCAATCTGCAAGGATCAGGGTATGTGTGAAAAACTGAGTGGAGGCAGCTGCCAGACCCTATGTCATTGCACACCCTGGTATAAAGCCTTCCCCATTGAGCCCACAAGCCTCTGCTACTGTTATCACCAATCAGTGATCAGAAATCACTTGTTATCAGTTAGTACATAGAACCAAGCTGAGTTTGCATGTTTTCTGTTATGATGTGAACACCAGTTCTTGTTCATACAAGGCCAGACAAAAAGACATACTTGTACCACTTTGGAAACTACTCTTTTGGACTACAATCCCAGCACACAAATTCACATACACAAACATCCCTGCATGGCTTATGGTCCTGGTAGTTAGGAAATTCTGAGAGTTAGAAACCAAAAAGAACCCATACAAATTCTTTTCAACACAGATCTGCTTCCTCTACTGGAACAAAAAAGGGAGGGTGTTAATATTTATTTCTTAATGTTATATGACAGTGATAGTCATTATCTCCATGCTATGAAGTGTATTCTTCAGTTACTCTTTTCTTAGGACTTTTTTTAAAGTTAGTGCCATTTATGTTTTGTGATCGTTGCATGTTCATAAAATTTTTGCTGTTACTGTTTTGATGTTGCATTTCAAAGATGAGTACAAGCCTATGAAAAATACCAAAAGATGCCAGCATCAATGTTTTTGTAAAATGTACATTCCAGCTGAATGAACTAATTAACTTGGTTAAAAGGAGACCAAGCCAAAGGATTTAAAAAGCAAGCCACTGGAGCTTTGTGTTTCAAAAAGCCCATGTATTTACCAACTAATGGACTGTAAATTATTAATTGCCATCTTATAAATAAGTGTACCCTCATATTCTCAGTGCCACATGATTGGTGAAAAATATTTGGGGTTTTTTTTTTTTTCAGGAAAAATATTCCTTGTGCTTTTGTGGATTATTTGTTTTGGGATTTTTTTATTAAAAAAGATCAAATGCATTCATTCAGTAATGTCCACAAATATTTTATTTACTCCCCAGTATTGAAGCATTGAAATCTCCACTGGAGGCACCCTTTTAGTCCTATTTCTGAGATGAGACAGGGCCTTTCCAGCTGTGACACCCTAAAGATGTAAGATCTTCCCCAGAAAGTCAGTCCTGACATAGCTAAATGTCCTTTCAGTGACAGAAAAAGATGTTTCATTTTCCTCAACTTTTAAAGTACAGATAGTTTTAGTGCTGTCACTTAAATCCTACATTTTTATTGATTATATCCCATTTGGTTTACTATAACACACTCTATTTGAAGCTGCCTTTACAAAACATTTGCAAACTTCAGCAGAGTTGGTTACAAGGATCATACAAATCTTCTATTACAACCGCCTCACTGGCTACTGGCCTATTCCACCACCCCCCAAGCATAATTCAAAATGCTCATCATGATGACTGTAAATATAGACCTGACCTCCTTACATGATCCTGTTGAATTTTTGAGATCTTGATGGCTGCTCCCAGACTGTGGAACCTCTTCCCACGGGAGGCTAGCTATGTTGCTTCCTCCTACTTCCCTTTTCAGATTTTCACCTCTGTTTAATGAAGAGGACATTTTAATGGGTGGAACCAATGTAGTTTAGTGGTTTGAGTGTTGAACTACAACCCTAGAGAACAGGTTCTGATTCCTGACTTGGCCATGAAACCCACTGGGAGATCCTGGGCAAGTCACATGCTCTCAGCCTCCAGGGAAGGCAATGGCAAGCCTCCTCTGAACAAATCTTGCCAAGAAAAGCCTAAAGGCTTACCTTAGCGCTAGAGATAAAATTTTACATCATTAAAAACACGACAATTAAAATATAATTAAACTATTAATAGAATTAAAAGCAACTTAGAAGCATACTCATTAAAAAGTAACAAATGCAACCAATACATCACATTTACAGAAATATAAATTTTTATTTTAAAGAAGAATTGATAGATTACTTTTTAAGTCAGATTTCTATAGCACCTAAGTCTACCCAAGTTCCAGGGTAGGTCAAAATTTTGAATGATGATTTAAGAGTGCTGGGCATGCTCCACCAGGCTGAAAACAATGCATAGCTAAAAAGATTTGTTTCTATCATAGCTAATAAGATTATGGGATTAAAAAGGAAGAGTGATTCCAAAAGCATTTTCTGGGAGGATAAGCCCTCTCTCTTGTTCTTGTCCAAAAATCTATAAAACTGGATTTCAGTGCTTCCCAGAGTTATGCTTTTGGGGTGTGAAGAGAGTGGGCAGTAATCATACTGCTGTAATAACACTGTTGGATGCCCTACATGTACCTGTCTGGAATCTTTACTGACTCTCGCTGACTGTATTCATCATAGGAGGCAGAGCAGAAACTGGGTAGACATGACACTCCAGCTATGATTTGCCTTTCTCATCTACTCCTGCCAAATGTGTGAATTTTACTAGTTGAGGGATTGGTCTTGATATTGTCATGAATTGACAAGGCTCTTAAGAATGAAGTTACTACTGTTGTTGCTGCTGCTGCTGCTGCTGCTCCTACGGCTATTGTAACTGCAAAGGGAAGCTTGCTGTTATGGATTTCAAGTTCCCAGCAGCATCCCAGGTCAATGATTCTCAACCTTTTGGCCCTCCAGACACTTTTGACTCCAGTTCCCAAATCCATCACTACCAGCCATGCTGCAGCTTCTGGGAGTTGAACTCCAAAGACTGAGAACAACTGCTTTGGGGCACATGTGTTTGGGTAATTCTTAACTCACAGGCTATTTACAGCCTGCAAAGGACTTTCACAGGATCTATGCAGATGCTCATGCTTCTGCTGACATCACTACCAAATTATCCACTCACAGATTTAGAGAGAGAGAGAGAGAGAGTCAAGTCAAGCTGTAGGATGAGGGAAATTATATAGAAAGGATGATATGGAGGGACAGTCATATGCTCAAATGCTACTCTTCCTACCATAATCACCAGTCAGCCTACCAAACAGCTCTTTTATAAGTCTACTTTGAGTGTGATTTAAACAGGTAAAGTGTAAGAGCCAGTGTGGTGTAGTGGTTTGAATGCTGGGCTAGAAATTTAGGGACCAGGGCTCAAGTCCCTGCTCAGCCATGGAAACTCATTGGGTGATCTTGAGCAAGTCATACTCTCTCAGCCTCAGAGGAGGACAATGAAAATAATAATAATAATAATAATTTTTATTTATATCCCGCCCCTCTGCCAGGCAATCGGGGCAGCGTACAACCTTCAAACGTCAAAACAAATAAAATCAAAACAAATAAAATCAGTGCAAATCCCATTCCTTATTCCCACCCCCCAAAAACAAATCGAACAAAACAAATTAAAAGACAATTAAAATTAGCTTAATTCACAATGAGCATCTATACAATAGACAAAGGCATTCTAAATATGCAAAAAAATAGAGATAGCCTCCCGCTGAGCATCAGGGCCACACCCCCA